CCTCAAGGCAGGCTTTTTTAGATGGCCTTTCGACGGGATTGAAAAATCCTGCAGGTAAGTTTCGAAGTATATGAACTTTTTTGGATGCAGATAATTCATTTTCTGATCGAATCAATGATTTGGAAGCTCCGAACTCAGTTTTGCTATCTCATCCAAGTTTCTGAGTATTTCCTTCACCCAAAAACTAATCTAAGACCCTATCCTACACTAACCTAAAAAGAGTAAGTTGCTTAATTTCGTCATTTAGTGCGCTCGCTGAGAAGTAAAATAACTAATTACTTTCAGGCAAGGGAAAACGCCTGATCATTTGCCACATAGGTAGCGTAGATGGATTTGTTCCTGAAGCATTGTGGGCATTTGAATCCAAAAAAAACTGGAGACTATCACGAAGAAATGGATGGTAACTCATTTGAAAATTGGTTCAAAAAAATTTTGCCGACACTTGATGATAACGCAATTATTGTGATGGATAATGCCCCGTACCACTCCATAAAATTGGAAAAAAATCCAACAATGGCCACCAAAAAGGCAGACATTCAACAGTGGCTTGTCTCAAAGAAGATCGACTTCGACCAAACAATGGTCAGAGCTGAGCTGATAAATATAGTCAAGCGACATAAGTATAAATATGATTTAAAAATTGTTGACGAAATGGCCAAAAACCAAAATAAAACGATTCTCAGGCTGCCTCCCTATCACTGCGAACTGAATCCTATCGAGTTGATTTGGGCCGACATCAAGCAATACGTGGCGTCAAATAACAGCACTTTTAAGTTTTCTGACCTTAAAAAACTGTTTGATGTTGCTGTCGATAGAATTACGCCAGCAAAATGGAGAACATGTATTGACCATGTCCAAGAGAAGGTTGAAACCAAAATGTGGGATATGGACAATATCATTGACATCCAAGTTGAACCCCTTATAATTGACATCAACAATTCTGATGATTCAAGCTCCTCGGAATACAGCATATAAATCGATTGATACCATTAAGACTGGCAGTTTAACGGGCTTTTTGGCAAGACAGGTAAGTTCATTATAGACTACAATCAAAGTGTAAGTTTCTAGTTATTAATGTGGAAATTCAAAATTTATAATTACACAAAATTAGGGTTAATTTAGGAGTTCCAAAGCATAATAGTGCCATTTTGATCGTCTTCCTATTTCTCATGTAAATCTTAATAGCAATCAAACTAACAAACTTTATGGAGTCTGTAATAAACTTTTGTACTACTACTACTACTACGTCTGCAGTTTCTATTTGCTCAAAAAAATTTGCTCTGCATTGTGAATAGAAGGTTGATTTGTAAATATTATTGGGTATATATGTAAGTTAATAATAAAATATGAACAATTTCAATTGAGATGGTCCACAAGTTTTTTTCGTGTGCGTTTTAGTAACATTTTGCTGAAATGGTGAATACAGAATTTTTTGCACTGATTCCTAATGTCGAAATATGATTAGAAAGGCGTGGTATATTCCTGATAATTTACTATGCTTTTGATAGAATTTACAGCAACACATATCTTGTACGACATTTTTTGATAGATCAGTCACAATAGCTTGATACGGCCCTGTAGCGTCTCCTACGGTTAAGTTCTTGATCACGTGCAATACGGGTGTATATGTTTGATTTTACTTTGTTTCTTCGATGGATACAGTTTAGTTATTATTGTTGTTATATAATGGAGTAAATAAATATCTACTACTAATACTTTGAATGAGTCACCCTGTTTTGTGACACCGCATCCAGAAGAACAGTTTCCAGCCTGTTAAGCATCCAGACACATCAATTCCAGTCTAAACATGCTGACGATTATTGCCGTGCCTATTTGCACATTTCCTACCAAACTGTCTGAACAGGCCATTAGATCTGTTAACCCAAATACAGTTTTGAACTATTCATTGCTATACAGGCCAAGTTAGCTCGTCTATTGTATGATGCTATCTACTACAAATTTTATTTTATTACGGGTTTTCGCTGACTAGTTTTTGCGTAAACGTAATTTTGCACATTAGGTTGAAGCGGGTGTGATTCGTGTTTACTATACAGGGTGTGTTCAATGTTGAGTCGTTTATTTTAACAGCTTGTAAAACTCGTCTTATGAATCTGATATACAAAAAATCACGTATATAAAAGTTGCATAATAAGAGAGATAGTTGACATTACTAAAAATTATTAAAAAAAAATATCAAATTAAATGGATACAGTTTTTATAAAAACTGTTCAAATTTGTCCCCATTTGTTCGATTAAAATCTTACTCGACGAATCCACGACTTTTTACAAGCTTCGAAAATAAAATCCTGGTGTCCACGAATTTAAAAGGAGCATTTTGTTACCTGTCAACAAAGATAAAATGTTAAACTTTCTTCCCGTTACAGAAAAAATTATATTTTTTGACAAGTAACAAAATGTCACTATTTATCAAATTACTTTTTTCTCGGATATTGTATAAACACATATTTAGCTGGCAATAATTTTTGTGACTTTGGCTACTTCTACTAATTCCGGTGAAGTCAAAAAAAAAACTCGGAATCGGACATTTTATACTGTATAGTATTAAAAATAATTTCTAGACAACCACTAAGTACTCAATTTTTAAATCAAATCACAAAATCGAATTGACAGCTATTCTATTACTTTACAAGTTTCCTTAGCAACGCAGGTCTAATTGTGGCTATAAGTACAACATAGCCTACTAATTTCACATTCATTCCGCATCGATAATTTTCTGACTCAAATATTGTAATAATTTTCCAGTGTTGAATCGTATTTTTCTCGCCACAGAAAAAAATTGTGTAAAATACTAGATTTAAAACCTAGTACTTGTTTTCCTTGTAATGGATTGTCCAATAGGGACGCAGGAAAGTAAACGTCAATTTGACATAGACGCCATCTTTGTTTTCTGTCACCGACATGTCATTTTGTTAGTTGAATGTTTACCATTGATCGCTATGGAGTCGTATTCGATTGAAGACCGCATTAAAGTTATTCAAGAGCACGACAAAAATGGTGCAAAAATAAAAAACACGTTTCGCGCGCTTCGTGAACATTTCGGTCGCAACAACCGCCCAAACGAAACAACCATCGGTCGTCTGGTGCATAAATTCGAGGCCACAGGTTCTGTGGCCAATCTGCCAGGCTCTGGCTGGCCAAGGAGCGTTCGCACACCGGAAAATATTGCTGTTGTGAAGGAGAGTGTGAGAGACGATCCGAAACAATCAACAACGCGTCGATCCCAAGAATTGGGCATTTCGAGAACCAATTTGCTCCGCATTCTCCACAAGGATTTGAATGTACACGCCTACAAGATCCAATTGACGCAAGAGCTGCGTCGGGCCGACCATTTTTCGCGCCGAACGTTCTCAGATTGGCTCCTTGGACACCGCCAAATTGATGCCAATTTTTCATCAAAAATCATGTTCAGCGACGAATCGCATTTCACTTTGAATGGGACGGTAAACAAGCAAAACTGCCGCATCTGAGCGAACGAAAATCCCCGTGAGTATCAAGAGCAGCCGATGCATCCTCAAAAAGTGACTGTGTGGTGTGCATTGTGGTCAAAAGGCATCATCGGACCTTACTTTTTCGAAAATGCGGCCGGGGACGCCGTTACCGTCAATACTGAGCGATATCACGTGATGATAGAGGACTACTTTTTGCCGCAACTTGAAGGAATGGATATGGACGAAGTTTATTTCCAACAAGACGGTGAAACATGCCACTCAGCCAACGTCAATATCCATCGATTGCAGTCCTTCTTCGGTGATCGCGTGATTTCGCGCAGAGGAAATGTGCCATGGCCACCAAGATCGTGCGATTTGACTCCCTTGTACTTCTTTTTATGGGGATATTTGAAAAGCAAAGTCTACGTCAACAAACCAGCCACCCTCCAAGAACTCAAAAACAACATCATTGCCGAGATAAATGCCATAGAACCGACCATGTTGTAAAATGTCATTGAAAATTTCGACCATCGCGTGGACGTCTGTAAATCCAGTCGTGGTGAACATTTGAGCGATATTATTTTTCATACATAAATGGTATAAATGAACCTTCAAAATAAAGTACCCAACTTGATTTGAATATCAATCTTTCTTGTTTTAATATGCGTTTACTTTCCTGCGTTCGTTTTGGACAACCCCATATAATAAGTAACTATTTAACTCATTCAACCTGGTAGTATTAACATCTTAGAATCATATCTATCTGACAGGGAACAACTAGTGTATTCTAATGGCTGTACTTCCGACACCAAAGCAGTAGTCCAGAGTTCCTCAAGGATCCGTTTTTAGACCACCGCTGTATTTATTAGACAGGGCGTTCGGAAAAAAGACGGAGATATTTTAGAGGGCTACTCTTGAAAATAGTTTCTATAAGCATAAATCTCTTCTCTAAAACATTATACAGATAATTTGTAGACTTGTGTCTCAAAACGTTATACAAATAGTGCACCATTAAAAAACAATGAACGGTGGTTCGAGATATCTTCTCTCACGTAGTAACTTGTCTATAATCGTATGCAACGGTTCTGTAAAATTTAGATTTTTTGTTTTATTTTCTTTGTAAGGAAGTTATAATCAAGTATGACACCATAATCCGAATGTTAAGGATCGATGTTTTTGCAAGTGTTTATATTACTTGTCGGTGCTTATACCTCCAAAGGGTTTTATATTTATAATTTGGGGTTATTCATAAAGTGAAACCCAAATCTCTAAGTATCTATTAGTTTTTCCAAACTCTTTGTTTCAACTAAAGTTTCATAACGGTACCCTCTAATTCATTGCTTTTTTGAATTTTGGAACAAGTCTCGAACCAAGATTTATTTTTTGTGGGGTTAAGTCTCATACAATAATTTTTGAGTATTTTATCATTTCTAAATTTGTGCCAATAATGAGATATTTTACACATTGAAGCTACAATATTCCAAAACATCTGTACACGAAACAAATTTCATTATGGATTTCAAATATTTTCAGCAACAAACTAACTTAGTCTTGTATATTCTTGATTCTTCATCCTTTCAGTATAACTCCTTCCTACAAGTTTGCAACCCACAAACCATGTAGGCGTATATGCGGTCGCAGTAACTTAAACATAAATGTCGTTGTGTAATTCCTCAACAGGTGGCCACGTACCTGACAGGACCTGACATTCGTTGAACAATGGCATGTAGAATTTTGACGGCTTCTTAACTCAACTTCAACAATATGTCACCCATGTCGTCTTTTCACCTATAATCATCTCCCCGCATGGCATCGGTTTACAATTTATTCCACGATGCCATCCATATGGAAGACAGTATTGTTGAAAGATACGAACAGAACAATGCTGTTGAAAGTAGACGCCATTTTGCTGCACTGAAGATACAGAAACACTTCAGAGGATTCTTAACGCGAAACCGTATCAAGAGGTTGCACAAATACGCTATTTTGATCCAGAAGACCTTTCGAGGATGGCTTGCCAGGTAAAGCTCAGTTAAGGAAATGGTAGACAGTCACAGACTGCCGAGCGTGGAGGTACCACCCAGCGGATGTCCTTTCCCCTGTATCTTCTTATAGCCCCACAGTATCTACGTCTCACCTGCATGATGGCTCAAGTATAAATAAAATGAGTTTGTCCTTGGTCTTCTAAAGAGGTCTTGTACAAATGATGATGGAAGCTTTCTTCGTATGGGACATAAGTTGTCGTGTTTTTTGTAGGTACCATTTGCCTGACAGGCTTCACGAGTACTACGATCGATTATTCTTGGACCACATCAACAAAAGTGCTGCGAAGATTCAAGCTACTTGGAAGGGGTACTCTTTCAGGAAGTACGAGGTTTGCATCAAGGACATTCGAGAAGAAAGGGCTCTCAGAGAAAAGGCTAACGAAGAGATGCAGATGATGCTGAGGCTTCAGAGGGAGCTTATGATGGGCGGGATTCAAGCAGGTACGATGTACAGACTTGACAGAAACTGGTTTTCGTCTAAAATGCATATAGGCAAGAAATATTGAAAATGTAGTTGACCAATTTTTAGACAAACTGTGGTTTCATCGTAACTATGAGCCCCTATCGTTGATAACGTATTTTACCTGGAGATGACCAATCAGATACTGTATTTCAGCGACCAAAAAGACAAAAAGTCCCTAGCGCCATCTATAAGACAGTAGCAGAACCAAACACTAAATCTCATGGAAGTAGATCTCTAAATTCATTTTTGTGTTCTGGTATTGTCTCATAGCTGGCGCTACCATCATTCAGATCCTTTTTTGGTCCCTGGAATATGGTTGTATATCTTCAGGTAGGTAACCTTGAGCTACTACTTCCTTTGTTCAATTATGATTATGATGATGATGATTATGATTAACTTTATTCTGTCCAATCTTTTTTGGTGCTGCAAAGTAGTTGCGTAGCATTTCCAGGGACTTGTATTGCGTGCACAGTTTAGTAATAATTATAATCACCTTAGTATAATGCCATTCTGCAACTTAATCCTAAAAAAGGTACCACAGTAGAACAAAAACCAAATATAGAATATTTCAGTGTTGACTAGACTAAGAATAGTTGTATAGATAAGTTGTTTAACAGTTAAAAGAATTAAATTTTAAATTGATATTTTGTGAAGTGAAATGTCAAATAAAAGATGACTAATTTAAGTGAATGTTACTGCTAGATATCAGTTTATCCTTTGAAAATGGAGGGATGCCTGTTAGTGAAAGATTATGGGTATGTGACGAAGGGAGCTCATATAGTTCTTTTACTCATAGGCATTTCCTGTATTTTGAATATAATAAGTTATTGATGAATCTGCAGCAGGAACTGAATTTTTTGTTGACGCGTGAGACAGGTGGAATTTGAAAATGGAACATAAACATATCAAAATAAGTAATTTTAAACATGATCAGAGATCCACATTTTTCTGTTTTTTTTTTTTTGTTTGACAGTCAAGAGATTTTTGATTTAGGTAAAGTTGGCGTAAAATTGAAAAACAATTCTAGCTGATATTCACGTGTGGTATGAATTTGAGACTTTATCAAATATGATACCTACAGTATATTCAGATAAGAGATACACCGGTGTAAACAAAAGGTTCGGGTGATTTTCACGCTAACGCCGCCGTCTCGACGTAAAACAGGAGCCCTCATTGGTCAATTCGCAACTGAATGCCTATGCCGAGCGGCAGAGCAGTAGTATCAAGGCAGAGTCACATTCAGGTTCAGACGTGTTACGTATGTCGTGTGCATCATTGCAATTTGATATTTCTTTGGACGTTTTCGTTTGTTATCTTATTAAGTTGTTGAGTTTGTCCTTGTTATTGTTATACCTTGTTATTGATTGTTATTGTTATCAACTGCTTGCGCAAAATGCCCAGTAGTACAGATACTGCCGATGAAGTTGTAAACTCCTGTAGTCCACCTACGAAACGCTCTAAAAAAAGACACCTGAGTGCAGAAATGAAAGAGGTCATTTGGAATATATATAAGATCGAGCGCGAGGAGAACGAGGCATCAACCATCAAAGAAATTGTTGTGAAGGTTTCTCACAAAGTTGGGGTGTGTCGCGCATCAGTGTTTAATGTGTTAAGACAATGCAAAAAAAAATCACACCTTTTCAGAGCCAATGACCAGTAAACATCGCAAAAGTATTGTTAAATCATTGGATGAAGCTGATAAGCATGCGATTAGGAGGAAAGTGCATGAATTCTTCTTTAGGAATGAAATACCTACTATAGATAAAGTACTGCAGGAGGCAAATGGAGATACAACGTTGCCAAATTTCAAACGATCAACTTTCCATGCGTTACTGAAGCATTTAAATTTCAAATGGAAAAAACGGGGTCGTAATAGTTTACTACTGGATAGAGAAGAAATTGTGCTATGGAGGAGGGATTATTTAACAAAAATTGGGAAATATAGAAATCAAAACAGGAAGATTTATTACCTTGATGAAACGTGGGTAAACGCAGGACACACTACAAGTGAAGTATGGGTTGATGATTCTGTAACTTCATCCAGGAGGGCCTTTCTAGATGGACTGTCCACCGGATTAAAAAATCCAGCAGGTAAATACGAGTAATAGACAACAATCGGATGTTTTTCAAACCTTGGGAACAAGGTTCTAAACATTAATTCCAGGGGGCAGGTAAAACATATTACAAGTAACAAAACTTTTATAACTTTCGATAAAGTGCGTGGATGTTTTATTGTCATTTTCATTTGTTAGAACTTTTTTAAGCCATGTTTTTATGTGTTTTCGATATTTCAATAATTTTTTAATATAATCTTAAAATATGTCGAATATTATAAACTTAAAAAAAGTTACTAAGTTTTATATTGTGTACCGTTCCTAATATTTCTAATCATTTTAATTCATACTTTAAGCTTTATAAAGTTATAATTTGTTAATATTAATATTTGCGCGTATTTCAGGTTCCTGATCATTCATTTTTTAAAGGTTTATAACTTTAAATTAAATTGTGAAGCGCTGAGTAATCATACGACGTTCAATATTCTTTCTTTCAATATGACTAAATAATCCCAATTATAGCAATCTGATACTCATGTCTCAATGTTTTTTCGCTGAATGTGATGAAAACATTTGAAAAAGGTTCGCTTATTGAAATAAATCTACACCGGTTAGTACTTCGATTTCCAGGTAAAGGGAAAAGGCTCATTATCTGCCATATTGGCAGTGAGGATGGATTTGTTGTTGACGGTCTGTGGTGCTTTGAGTCTAAGAAAACTGGAGATTACCCCGAGGAAATGAATGGCGAATCGTTTGAACAGTGGTTTTCAAAAATTTTACTGAACTTAGAGGAAAACGCAGTAATTGTGTTGGATAATGCGCCTTATCATTCTCGAAGAATGGAGAAGGTCCCAACAACGGCTTCAAGGAAAGTTGATGTTCAAAATTGGCTCCGCTCGAAAAATATCAACTTTGAAGAAGCAATGCTGAAAGTACAATTATTAAGAATTGTCAAGGATCACAAGGCGGAATATCAAAAATACGCCATTGACGAAATGGCAGCAAGTCAAAATAAAACTGTGCTCCGTTTACCTCCATACCATTGCGAGCTCAATCCCATTGAGCTCATATGGGCAGAGGTTAAAAATTATATAGCTAAGCACAATACAACTTTTAAATTTTGTGACCTCAAAGGACTTTTCAAAGAAGCACTAGAATTAATAACAGCGCAAAAATGGGAAAACTGTATTAAGCACGTGAAAGACAAAGTTGAAAAGAGAATGTGGGAACTGGACAATATTTTAGAGGAACAAGTCGAGCTATTCATTATTGACGTTGGTGCTTCAGGCAGTAGCGATGATGAAAGCTCATCAAGCTCATCTTTCCAATAAAAGATGTCGTTCATCAAATTCGGTAAGTTATAAGTAATTATAAAGCTACTGTATTTTTTAATTAATTATTGACATTTTTGAACCCATTTTGGCAAAACCTATTCAAGAATCTACTTTCTGACAATGTTCAACCATGCACATTTTTTTACGTTTTGAACGTTTTAATTTGGTTACATATTTAGCTAGAAATCAAAAAATATACTAATCAATATTCTAAAAGCAATTTTAAGAGATATACGATTATTTTTAATTTAGGCTAATTTAAACGCCATTTTGAGATTATATTCGACTGTATTTCACCAAACATCGGGCGGCATCCGAAGCTGGAAATCGAAGCGAAAAGTTTGAAACCCTTATGTATATTTACATCATTATATATTTCTTACCCCACCCCCACATGATCCTATATCCATCACCAATCGTATACACATCGAATTGTGCTAATTTACTACAAAGTTACGCAAAGCAGCATCTACTATCTAAAATATGTACTGCGTGACTCTTAATACGTCCCTGCCGAATGTTACAGCGTTCGATGATCACGTGGTCTTGTTTATGTCCGGTCTATCTCTTATCTGAATATACTGTAAGTTTTTGACTGATTCACTTATCTCAATAAAGTCACACTTTAAATTTATATCAAATTTTCTTTATGCATCACTTCTCAGTATCTCAGGTGAAAAAATGATGACTGGAAATACAGACGTTTTTTTTTACACTAGCTGATACTCACGACCTCGTACGTTTGAAATTGTCACTGACATGAAACGTTGCTATAAACTTCCGATCACGTTTTGTATTTATGTTTAAAGGCATTAGTAAGTTGGTAGCCAGCTTGCATGCTTCAGAAATTTGGTTACTTTAATAGTAGCTCCACCTGGGGGGAAAACCGCGAGGCAGAAAGATCTTGCTCCTATATACACTCCTTGTGTTTAAGTAGTGGATATATGATGATCTACTAAATGGTATCAAAAGATAAGTAATCTACATATTTTCTCAGGAACCAAACCTCAAAACATCAACTTGTTAGAAAATATCATAGAGGTGTGCATTGATCGTCATCACCTGTTAAGTACCAAACAAATCAGAGGAGTGTTATCAGCACCACAACACCAGGAACTTTCTGAGTTGGAAAAGATAATAAAGACCAGCACATGGACGGACTACATGAGGAAGCTCAGAAAAGTAAGGTTCTGAAATAAACTTGGTGATCAATGTTAGTTGCTCAAAATGTACATGTGTTCAAAACATCCATAGTAAATGGGCGCCCTAATAAACATTTAATTAGCACCATTTTCCTAAGGGTTATTTTGTAAAGTACATGTTTCATCGGGGACCCCGCCCCCCCCTCCCCCATTTTACGACGATTGTATCTGTGCAAATCTATTCACATTTTTTCATGAAAACAATAATTGAAAAACAAAAGTTTACCCCTCAAATGCTCCATGATTTTGTTACTGGATGTTTGAAGAATAGCTAGTCACTGAAGCAACTTTAATTTTTTTTTTATTGTCTTTATGGGCTGAAAATAGTATGTAGCACCTTTTCAAAGATCAAATCGCTTATATCTCGAAAAATATCAATTTTAGAGAAAATTTCATACGAGCCTTTGTTGTTCAGAATGAATAAAAAAGCTGTCAGGGGTCTAAAATTGAATTATTAAAATTCGCTTAAAAAATTGTTTAAACAATTTTTAAGCCGCTCTTGGGACTTGCAACATACAAGTTCGTTAAAAAGGATCTTTTTTGAATAAGACTATGTATAACACTGATCAACAGCCAACAAATATCCTAAATAAAATCAACAAAATATTACCATTTTTAATGTGCTAAAACCGGAATGAAACTTATTTTTTCAATATTAGTTCAAGTTTTAGAGATACGGTAATTATATGTGTTCCTGCTGTGACAGTGTTAATATACTGTAATTCTCAAGAATGCACGTGCTACATTTTTATATTCGGCAAGGAAAGATGATGTAATCGGCATGTGTTACGTTATACATACGTGTACATTATATTGTTTTATATATATATATATATATATATATATATATATATTTTCCTCAGTTGGCTGACAGCGTTCATGCAAGACGTCTCGAAAGTGTGTAAAGAATCCAGATCAGTTTTGTTACGTGTGTGGTGATGTGACTTTTGCGTCTCAGAGACGGTCTATTATTCCACTAATAACAAAGGCATATCAGCTTTATTTCGGTTGTAAACTAGGTGATCAAGACAAACAGTGGGCACCCCATATCTGCTGTAATACATGTGCTTCAAGTCTGAGGAGCTGGTTAAATGGCAAAAAACGGTGTATGCGCTTTGCTGTCCCAATGGTTTGGAGAGAGCCTACAAATCATATTAATGATTGTTACTTTTGCACGGTACCTTGTGTTGGACAAGACACAGGTATGTCCAAGAAAAAAAAATCGGTTATTAACTACCCAAACATACCATCTGCGATGAGAACTGTGCCTCACAGTGACGAAAATCCTATTCCAAAACCCCCAGAATCCTACATTTGCGAATCAGAAAACGAATCAGATCATGACGATCGAGTGATTCGTCAGGAAGAAGATATGCCATCAACGTCAAGAGATCCTGATTTTATACCGAGCACGTCATGCCACCAACCGCACAAAATAACACAGTCAGAATTAAATGATCTTGTAAGAGATTTAGAACTTCCAAAATGTAAGGCAGAGTTACTTGGATCAAGACTGTAGCAGTGGAACTTGTTAGAAGACGATGTTTCGGTATGTGTTTTTCGTAAACGCCACAAAGACTTAGAACCATTTTTCAATATGGAGTATAACTTGGTTTTCTGCAGTAACATTAACGGCTTACTGGCGGGTTTAAATATAAACTATAACCCAGAAGAATGGAGATTTGTGATGTTTATAGACAGTTCAACATTGAGTTTAAAGGCAGTGTTATTGCATATTGGAAATATTTTACCATCTCTTCCTGTAGGGTATGCAGTTCACATGAAAGAATCATATGACAATATGAAGTACCTATTGACATGCATAAAATACGATGAGCACCAATGGCATATTTGTGGCGATTTGAAAGTTGTTACACTTTTACTTGGGCTGCAGCTAGGCTACACAAAGTTTTGCTGTTTTTTGTGTGAATGAGTCACCACCACTGCATATCAAGTTGGGCCTAATGAAAAACGTTGTCAAGGCATTAGATAGACATGGGTCAATACCTGCGACAGAAATTTCCAAGACTAAGTGAGGCAAAGGTTAAAGAAGGTATTTTTGTTGGGCCACAGATTCGAAATATTTTGAATGATACACAGTTTGAAAACACTTTAACAGGTATAGAAAAAACTGCTTGGAATGATTTCCGTCTGGTGGTCACTAATTTCTTGGGAAATAGAAAAGCTGACAACTATAAAACCCTTGTCAAAAATATGCTGTTATCGTACCAAAAGATGGGCTGTAATATGTCTCTTAAGATACATTTCCTACACACACTCACACCTCGACTTTTTTCCTGACAATTGCGGAGCCGTAAGTGATGAGCACGGCGAACGTTTTCATCAGGATATTTCAACAATGGAAAAAAGGTACCAGGGAAAGTGGAATCCTTCCATGCTTGCAGACTACTGTTGGACTCTTGGTAGAGATGCTCCAGAAACGATCCATAAAAGATCAGCAAAAAGACAGCGCATATAGTGATTCTTATAAGTATATGAATCTTGTTACTTTTTTTAATATATCCTTAAAAATAAAAAGTTTTTTTTCTAAACTGCAACTAAGTTTTTTATTTCATTGTCATTTTTGGATTCAGCGCCCCAAAATTAACAAAGAAGTGCACTTTTCCCACAAGATACAATTAAAAAACTAAAATTTCTTGTCCAGTGATAATCGTTATTTTTCCTGAATTGTTGATTTTATTTAAAAACAAATTCCTGAAGACCCATCGGACCAGCATTTATCACCTCTACTTGATTGTCTATAGATCTACCGCAACTCTGCAATGGGACAAGATGAAGAAGACCAACAAATAGCCTATCAACATCCCAAGCTGAGAAGATACCAGAAACTTATGAAACAGAGAGATCCAAACATGGAGCCTCCGCCTCCACCATGTTACACAAAACAAAAGAATGATTTCTATCTCTACAGTGGCTTGATCAAAAGGGAACCGTACCAAAGAATGCTGACAACGTCTGACAAGTACCGGAAACCTATAACTGCTGTAGTCAGAAGCACTGATCGGAGTAAGAATATTTGCGAGCAGGATTTTGATCTGAATACTCTGAAAATGGCCGCAAAGGAAGCTGAGGTTCCGCCGTATTACATCGACTTTTGGTTGACGAAATGTAAAGTTCATAATTTGTGAAATTGTTTAGATATGAATAAAGCATAGTCGGATAGAAGGAACTTTATTAACAGCATTCAGAAAAAAAATTAAATTTTGAGAACCATGAAAAATTGGATAGATTTGATAAGCACGAAGTTTCTGATGATCATAAAAATTATGGGTATTTCGAAAAATTTTAATACTATGAAAATTTCAAGCATGTTTTGAAAACTTTGAAGAATCAGAAAATATTACAATACTTATACTATACCCAAAAAAATGTAAATTATGTTGATTTCTAAGAATATGGATTCCTAGAGGACCCCAAGGTATTGAAAATGTCTAAAAGGTGAGAGGGGGTCCGCGACTTTGAGTTCTCATCAAATTTTGGTAATCATGTATATTCTGGATATTGTAAATATATTGGTAATTTTGAAGACATATAAATTTCAAGTACATTTTGAAAATTTTGCAGAATTTTCATTATTCTATAAATATTGGATGTATTAAATATTTTGAAAGGAGAAATTTTAAAACAAATGTGAGTTCCTGGAATGTCAAATATATACCAAATGCTAGAAGATTTCGAAATCACGGAGATTCCAAAAATTTTGAAACTTGGAAATTTTTGTGATTTTGAAGATTCATATATACAAAGTGACATATAAATCCGAACACCCAGTTTAAATGGTTTTACTTTAATAAAAGTTGGTGAATGTATTTATCTTACTGTAAATAACAAGTGAAAAAATTTTCAGCCTTATCAGTTGGACATTCCGGTTTTTATACTGCTTTTTTTTATTCACTAACGCTCTAAAAATGAATATTTCAGCCGCAGTAAAGAATTAACGTTGGCGGATTTTGGTTATTGACATCCTTTACGATCGGTTACGATGCCTAGAGTACGGAGACCTGTACGATTTCGTCAACTTAGTGAGTTTGATAGGCGCCGTATAGTGGGACTTCGGGAAGCTGGACTTTCTTTTCGGGCAATTGCAGTTAGAGTGCAAAGAAGTGTAGACACTGTGGTTAGGTGTTGTCAGGCATGGCTTCGAGAAGGCCGTACGCAAAGAGCAAGGGGCTCTGGACGCCGCCGTAGAACAACAGACCATGAAGATCGCCGCCTAAGATTATTGGCCTTAAGGGACCGTTTCTCCACTACCAGGTCCATTGCAAATGAATGGTTTGCAGAACACGGAAGACCTATTGGCATGCGAAGTGTTTACCGACGAATGAGAAGTTTTGGCTTGTTTTCATACCGGCCACACTGGGTCCTCCCTTTAACTCGAGAACACCGACGTAATCGCCTTGAGTGGTGCAGACAACGGTAACTCTGGTATCAAGAATGGAACAGTATTGTCTTTAGTGACGAGTCTCGATTTTGTTTAGGCATGCACGATGGTCGTGCCAGGGTTAGAAGGCGACGTGGTGAAAGGAAGAATCCACAGTTTTTTGTTGAAAGACATGTTCATCACACTGTTAGAGTTATGGTTTGGGATGCTATAGCTTATGGTTCCAGGTCACCTTTAATCTTCATCAGAGGTAACATGAACGCGCAGCGTTATATCCACGAAGTTCTAGAACCCCATCTTTTACCCTATCTTGACACCCTGGCAGATCCAACTTTCCAACAAGATAATGCCCGACCAGATGTTGCAAGAGTCACAATAGACTTCTTTCAACATAATGATGTCACATTGTTACCATGGCCACCAAGATCTCCCGACTTATCCCCAATTGAGCACGTGTGGGATATGATGGGTAGGAGATTGCTCAATTTGCAACGTCCTCCTCAGACTCTAGAAGCACTTCGAGAGGAGTTGGTGGTAGCCTGGAATGAGATACCACAGGAGGACTTTGACCACCTGATCAGAAGCATGCCTAGGCGCGTTGGAGAATGCGTAGCACTTCAGGGTGCATCCACACATTATTAAAGGTCAAAGGGCTTTAAAGCAGTGCAATCATTTTGAAATTTTTATCATTTACTTATTATGCTTCATTAAGTACTTATACAAAATTTTATTAAAATAAAACCATTTAAACTGGGTGTTCGGATTTATATGTCACTTAGTATATATCAAATGCTAGAAGATATCGAAATCACGGAGATTCAAAAAATTTTGAAATTTGGAAATTTTGGTGATTTTGAAGATTTTTAATAATATGAAAAAAAGAGTTTTAAGTTTTTTGGGAATATTATCGATTTTGTATATTTGAAAATATTAAATCATGCGATAATAACTTCTGAAAATTCATGTAGTTACAAGGAACGTAAAAATATTATAATTTTACTTTAACATTTTTAGTGTATTAAAAGAAGTGGAAATTTTGAAGAAAATATTAAAGTGGAGATGACAAAAAAATTATTGATTCTATTATTATCAGGATTCATATAAATTTTGAGGTTTCTAAGAATTTTGAAGGATTTGAAAGCCTTAATTAATTCAACATTTTTAATTTTTGAAAATACAAAAAATATAAAATTTTTGAATAATCTGGAAGTTTCCAAATTTTCTAAAAATTCTAAGTTATCAAAAATTTTGAAAGCCCCGAAGATACCGAATATTTCTATACATTTGGGGAGCCTGAAAATCATTGGAGTCTCGAATTTCCAAAAATATTGAAAATATGTATGATATACTGAAATAGCCAAGAAACTACGAAAATTTAATGATTCTTTCAAATGCGTCAAATTTTAAATGTATTCAGGAGTGCAGATTTCCGAAATTCTAAAAGCCTTTGAAAATGTGACGTAGAAATAATTAAATCCTTGATATTGCTCAAATTTTCACAGGATTCTGCATTCAGTGTTCTTGAATTTCCATGTCTTCCAGAATCCTAAATATTTTCATAATTTCGATTGTTGTGAAAATATGAAATATTTTGACAATATTGAAAATTAAGAATATTTTGGGGATTTAAAAAGTCATGGAGCCGCTAGATCTTGCAAATGTAGGAAATTTTGAAAATTTGATGAACTCTTAATTATTCTATCATGATACATATTTTGACGATCTTGTGAATTCAAAAAATGTGGAAAATGGAAATCTTGGATGGAATGACACTTTAGGTCTAAATGAACGTGTTGGTTTTCCGTCTCTGTACCCACTACCAACCTCAAACAGCGCTGTTTCGTCCTCATTGGCAACTCATCAGTACGGTATAGGTCTAGTAGCACTGGAGACGATCGAACAGGAAGCAAACGAGTAGGTATAGTCGTTTGAAAAAGACGGAGAAAGGCGAAAAATCTGACCACGCACCAATTGGTAGGTATTTTGAGTTTTTCAAACGACCACACCCACGTCAGATTTTTCACCCATTACAAAAATAACCGTTAAACCAAACCAATCCTTTTGTATTCATGTCCAACTCTTTCCTCGATTCTCACGGTGTCCAGCATCCATCGACTGTGGACCAGCAACTGACCAAACCTGTCCGCGATGCTCTGACTGCCTGACCTACGACCCTTCCTACCCTCCAAGATCCCGGTTCCCAAAGAAATTAGAATCATAAGAGACTTATTTGCATTTCTAATAGCGTACACACGAACAGGTTAGGGTAACAGGGTGCAGGTGAGACAGAAACGGGTGGATGTGTTTTTCTTTTTACGGTCCAGTCTTGACGCGGCGTTACGTGATGATGGGCGATAGTGTCAGTATTCGAACTATTTGTGCTGTGAATACGGTTGGTGATCGAGGAATGAGGTATTTTACAATAAATTTGATTCTGCAGAATGAGATAAATAGCGTACAGGGTGTTCCGTACTGAAATGAACATAGTGAAACAGTAGGTAGTATGGAACAAGGAATAGATCAGAAGTTATTATACTGAAAAAGTTCACTGTTGTGACCGAAACGTACTAATAATAATAAAAATAATAAGCGTTTTTATTTATTTACAATTACATTGTAGAGACATATGACAAAGTGCAGGATGCTGCTACTCTTGCACTTAACCATATGGCTACTAGCAGATGTTCACAACAATAAACTAATTCAAAAACAAATTTCGTTAGTTACATCGAAAATAGAAAAGAAAAAGGCATACATTCCAAACCTAAGTACACTAAACATTATTAACAGGGTGACGCATCGAAAACGAAACAGACGCATTTACTGGCAGCTCAGTTTTTTTTTGGAAAAATGCTCAGACCCGTCGATTTTGTTTCCGAGGGGGACACAAGTTTGGCAAAAAATCACGTTAGCACGTGCAGTCCCCTAAGCGGGGGTGACACTACCCCCAAAATCTTAAATGGAAAGGGGGGTCGAGTGATACCTTATTTTAAAGGTCTTTCAATTCCCTTTATAATGATGTCAAATTAATGTACTTCAGTTCAGAAGTCTTGAAGATTTATTGATTTAAAGCTTAAATAAAAGTAATACATCATCATTAGTGGAGATCAATACATTTGGCAGCAAAGTACTTTAAAAATGAAGAATGAACTGACTCGTTAGGCACATTTTCCAATTTTTGAGGAGTAATTTGAAGGCACTCATTCACAATTCTTTGTCGCTAATGATGTTGGCTGAGTAGCATAGATTTTGCTTTTTAAATGACCCCACATAAAGAAATCCAAAGGTGATCAATCTGGCGATCGTGGGGGCCATTCAATGGCACCTCTTCTACCAATCCATCGATCTGGAAACGTCTGATCTAAATATTGTCGAGCACGTAATGCGTAACGTGGTGGGGCACCATCCTGTTGGAACATCAACCTATTCGCAATATACCGCCGATCGAGGTCGAGGTCTTTCCATATCGGGAAATAAATAAGTTCCTAATTGTTTTTACGAATATACAGGGTGATTTATCTAAACACGTCGAATCTTCAATATGACATATCTCAGGCACTATTGAACCGAATTTGTTGAAATCCTGCACGATAACAAAGTTACTTGAAACTGTATGCACGGCTGTAAAAACACAGGGCCGGATTTGTTTTTTTTTACTTTTTTATTATTCATTTTACACTCACTATTGAAATATTTGACGAAAAGCCAATGAATAATGTTTAATAATAATATTGTTTATTTGCTTCAAGTAATAAAATAACTAGCAAATAAACAGTAAGACCCA